GGTTCACAGTAGCATCCTTCTATAGGGTCTTGGTTAAGAGGACAGACTTAGCTAACCCATCAAATAGAGCATGGGAGTCAATAGCACCACTAAGGATTCAGCTCTTTCAGTGATAAGCGACTCAAGGTAGGTCCCCTAACCATAGACAACCTTCAAAAAAGAGGTTTTCAATTTCCTAACGGATGTATTATGTGCCTTAATGAAGACGAAACAATATCACATCTGTTACTACATTGCGACTTCGCATACTCAGTTTGGAGCCTACTTATTCAGTTATTTAGACTTTCGTGGGTTCTTCCACCTTCAGTTCAGGCCATGCTAACACAGACCTATGAGGACGGCTTTAGGAAATCGGGGAAAATTCTATGGAAAGCGTCTGTTGCTGCTACCCTTTGGCACATATGGGGGGAAAGAACACGAGGATATTTCGAGGAGTTAAGAATACATTCCAAACCACATTCCAAAAAATAATGTCCTCCATTATTTTTTGGGCCTCCATCATAAACTATTTGTGGGTATCTCCGCCTCTTCTTTTTACGAGATTGGGAAATTCTCGTCAACCTCAGTCATTGTAGGAATCAAAGTACCCCTCGATGGACGACTCCTTCAGAGGATCAAATAAAGCTTAATTTTTATGGAAGCTCATTGGAAAACCCTGATCCGGCAGGCGTAAGGGAGGTGTATAGAAATTATGAAGGACGAGTCCTTCTCACCTATTCAAAACACATGGTATAAAGGACTCGCAGACAGCAGAAGCCAAAGCCCTTCTAATTGGTATCAAGAATTTTAACTAGTCTTGGGGAAGAATACTACAAATTGAAGGAGACGCCAAAAACATTATTAAGTGGGGTTCTGGGATAAGCGATCCACTGAGACATATCTTTGAAGAGATTGAACACTTATGCAGGGACCTGGAAGTCACTTGGAAGCACACCGGAAGGACCGCAAACGTAACCGCAATTGCACTCGCTAAAGAAGCTGCCCGGCAACATACTTAATTGGATGCAATTAGTCTGGGTGAAAGGGCAAAACTATAAGCCCTCACGCAGTTTTCTTTTCCCCGTATTGTAAAACTCTGTGTTAAAGGCAATTCTATAAGCCCTTCTTTGCTTTTGTCTGCTTATGTAACTGGGATTCTATGCTTTCCTTTTGTCCGCTTTTGTAATTGGGCATATCTAGAAGCCCCTCTCAGTGGATGTGTCTGTCTCGTCTGGTCCTCTACTCAGGGACCATGACACAACTGAGGTCCACTTGTGGTGGACCTCACTGTACTGATGTAACTCCTCCTATTTAATGTTAAGTCAACTTTTATAAAAAAAAAAAGATATGAAAGTGGTAACACCATTGTATTTTCAAATGAAAGAGAGGGGGGGGGGGGGGGGAGAGAGAGAGAGAGAGAGAGAGAGAGAGAGAGAGCGTCGTGGTCGTTGTACTCCGTACGTCGTTGGTGGTAGGAAGGAACGTAACCGTTACGTTCGTGTACGTAGTTAGTTGTCGTTGTTGGTTTGGTTCGTTTGTTTTCTTTAG